CAGTCCTGAAAGACTATGTTGTCAGTCTGCTGCTCAGCGCTGTAGTCTTCTAAAAACCTCTCAAGGTTCCTCACATATGGGTCATAGCTCTTGGAATCGCCAACGACAAAGGAAATTTCAGTCTTTTGTACCTGGGGAACTTGAGTCAGTCCTAAGGAAAGCAAAATCAGGAAGATGATAGTGAGTAGACCTCCAAGGTGCCCAGCCTCCAGGAGCACTTTGCACACCAAGGACACAAGGCAGTCTGCTCATCTGCATCTTGCAGTCTCCAGGATCCACACAGAAGAGCTTAAACTCACTGCAGGTGAGTTGAGCTGATATCTAACAGCAGCCTAGAAACCCTGCTGTGCTGTTTGCATCACTACTCAGATAAGAATCACAGCACCTGGAAGAGAGGCTTTAAGACCAACTTTTCATCAAAAAAACCATTCAGCTGCAGGTCACCTGCCCAGTCCTGTCTCCTCCCCCATGAGAAGCCCCATGCACATCAGCAACGCCACATCACAAGCTCCCCCAGAGCTACCCCACCTGTCCCTCGCTGTTGGACCTGCATGCCCACAGGTTTCCCTCCSTGACCCCCACAGGCAATCCCCTGTGCCCACAGGCAACCTCAGAGCTGCCTCCCTCTGCTCCTTCCAACTCCTTCGTGCAGTCACTCTGACAGAATGCAGGACAAGAGATGCTTTCTCTCCCACTAWCTTCAATAGCCTGGTCATTTTCTCTGCTGCCCTCATTCCTTGCACAGGTGCTGAGGAAGAACAACTTTCCTGTGAGGTGACAGAGCCTGGAACAAGAGCCCTGGAACAGGCTGCCCAGGGAGGTTGTGGAATCTCCTTTAGGTCTTCCAAACCCGCCTGGATGCCACCCTGTGCCCCATGCTCTGGGTGACCCTGCTAGAGCAGAGGGGTTGGACTAGATGATCTCCAGAGGTCCCTTCTAACCTCAGCCATTCTGTGTTTCTGATTACACAGAGATCCTTTTGAGCTCTCTAACCGGAAGCAGATCACTGAGTAAGCAGGCAGGAAATACAGTCACACAGAAGAGATGTCTAAAACAGTCCTAGATTCTGGGCTGCACAAGTAGCTCTACACAAAGAGCTTTATAAAGATGACTGGAATAGAAAAAGACTGCATGGAGAAGAGATTAGATGCATGTTATTCCTATAGATAATGAAAAATGCCAAGCCCTTTGATTGTCACTATGGGACCTAAAAATAGCTGCTCTTGCATGACATCTGGGTCACACTTTAATTGAATGCGTTGGTGCATGGCTAATACTTAAGTTTGAAGTAATGGCAACTGGAGCTCATGCTGCTTTTGCGGCTGCCGCTGCAATTACTGGGGTCTCAAGCCCTGTTCTGTTTGTCACCTTCACTTTAGCAGGAACAAAGTAAAAAGGAAGTAGGAGAGCAGCACTCGCTTCAACAGCATTGAGAGGAAGCTCTGGTGCCAGCAAGTTCCTCTAGAGCAGAGCTCCAGCAGCTCAGCTGGCCAAACCTCGGGAGCTTGTGACTCCAGCAGTTTTTGCAATGCTGCCGCTGCCACCGCTCGAGCGTTTCTGCTCAGTCCTGCCTCGGGCCAGCTCACCACTCCCCCTTCCCACGGGGCTGGAATTTGTAACCTAGGACAAAGATTAGCTTCATTCCTCTAAATGCAGCTTCTAGCAGTCAAAGGCAGTGAGACATCGAGCAAGTAGCTTGTGGTTTCATGTTTTATTCTGGGAAGCAGTTTCAACCTTCTCTTAAACCCCCCTTTAGCACAGACTGTCCCCCCCTGAGTGCTGCAAGTTTAGAAGCACCTCGGCACTTACCACAAGCAGAACTAGACTTCCCCTTAAAGTTACTGATGCTTTTCAAGCAATTACTTGCTTTCTTGCTTCACTAATGCTCTTTATATGCCCATGTGTCTATACTCATCTATATATACATTAAAAAAAGGCAGTTCAGTTTAACTGAAGGTATTCAGTTGCATCGTGCCAGGCCCTTCCTGGAAGGCTGCAGTGCCTGTCTGGTGCTGCAGGGCAGGCTGCAGGGCTGCTCAGGCACCTGCCCCTCYGCCGAGTTCACCTTACAGGTGCATCATTCAAGGGTGCACAAACAGGCACAGTCTGGCTTTCCCAAGCATTACCAAGTTCTGCCAGGCACTGACACTGTTAATTCTGCCCAGGACCGCCAAACCTCCAGGCAGCTCCTTGCCCCATTCTTTCTCTTGTGCAAGACAATGCATCAGGGCAGCTATGACTGAAGACTGGTCACCAAAATAAGCATCATGGAGCAGACTGCGGAAGGCATCCCATGGGTTATGCCCACTCTGTGGCTTGGAGAGTCCAGGCACTCGTGTGTGCAGTTAAAGCACACACTGCAGCAACTCCCACCCTGCAGGCCTGGCCTCCACTCAGCTGCTCCTGCAGTCAGTGACCAGTGAGGGGAGCTGCTCCAGGACAGGGATCTGGTGCAGGAGCTGCTTTCACCCCAACCCAGGTGTTCACATGAGCCAGACTCACTTATACTTTGGTAGAGGGGGTGCTTGCTTTGTGTGGAACACGAGCAGTGTTGCTTGGTCTGCTACTTACGGAACAAAAATAAGTAAAGCYTTGGGAAGGCTTTACAAGCATAAAGGGCTTGTCACAAAGCTAGCTTTATCCTGATGAAAGACGGAAATGCACCACTAGTTTCTGCAGCACCCTCCCCTCTCACATGCCTGTGACTGACAGGAGGCCCTAAACTCACATCTATCTCCCCTTTCTTCCCCAACCTCCTGTCTCTTCCATGTTTCCTATATCAAAGTCCTCAGTGCTGTTACCAGAAGAGCCCAATAAAGAAGGAGAACCTTACTTAAGTTTCCACCTTACACCATCCCATGACAGCTTTCTAACTCCATGGAGGTACCAGGCTAGCTTAAAAAAAGAACACTTGTGAACCTTATTTGAGATGGCAGAGGAGGAGGCAATGTTTCTGAAACACTTCTGTAACCCCAATGAAACCTCATCTCATCCCCCCTGTTCCTCTTAGGAAAACTGAAACAAGTAGGTGGAAAGGAAAAGCCACACACACTATTTTAAAGCTGAGTCATTCAACTGTTACCTAGTTGGGGCTAATAGACACAAGGGAGCCTCAAGTTTATTAAAGAGAACAGGGCTGAACAAACTTCCTGGGGTCTCATGCACATGCAGAAACCACTCATGAGCAAGCTCTATGGGGAGGAAAAAAAATGAAACCTTAAATACTTTCACAACCTGGAGTCCAAACAACCTCCTTGCCCCCCAGTTATGTTTGCTGTAATTCAGCATCTCAGGCTATTATCAGATATCCATTACAATTTCACATATGATGCCATTGATCACACAGGAAAGGGCCAAGAAACCTATTGTGAGGAAGTTTATCTCCCCGACTGCTTCTGAGCAGTATTGAGATAAAACTATTTTCACTGACATYATTTATGTGATGAATGATGCCCTGAGGCTGCACACACATAAACTGCCTTGGGATGGCTTTCTAGCTCTGTGTGTGCATCAAGCTGGCTTAGAAAATGTTTGTGAGAACTCACTTTGAGCTATGGTTCCACTTCCTAAAACAGTGTCACACATTACAGTCACACTTATTCAGTTTCATTTAATACTAAGTTTTCCAGATCGGTTTCCTCATCCTAAGCTGCAGGGAAAAAAAATACAGCGAAGAAATAGAAGTGTCCTGCACAAAGGGTCAGAAATTAGAAGTGGGAGGTCAGGCTTGTTATGAGGAAGCATTGCATAAGCCCATGGCAATTACTGTTGTTTCCCTGCTCGTTTCCCCATACCRTTCAATCCTCTTGCAGTCCAAACACTGCCAGGATGACACAGACACCAGTGGTAGCAGCTACCACCTCCCCACATACACCCCCTCCACTCCCAAGGATACTGAACAGGAGTGGCTGAGAGCCTCTGTACTGCACAGCAGCCTCCCAGACCTCCAGCCACCTTCCACCTTGCCCTGAAGTGGGAAATGGGGAGAGGAGATGCATGTTTCCCGACACAGTGAGCTTGCATGGCTGGAAGGCAGCAGTATCTCTCAGCTTGGCCTTAGGGATCTCCTTCCACACCCGGGTGCCAAGAGATAGGAGAAAGCAACATTGCAGGAGGGACATCTGCTCCCCAGGACTTTCCCACTGCCCTCCATTTTACCTCCCTGCTGCTCTGAGCTGGAGGAACCAAGTAGGGAGAAGGCAGCAGAAGGGCCTTTTCCACTGCCCTTCGCCCAGCCTTAGCAGTGCAAACCATCCTGCAGGAGGGCAGGGGCCCAGGAACCGCTCACCTGGGGCAGCAGTTCCCCAAAAGCCTCCTGCAGGGCGAGGTGTCACCCAGCACCAGCCACGGCACTGCATGGGGCCAACACCACAAGATGGCAGAAACGCACAGCCCTACTGAGGCTGGAGCACAGGGGGGGGGGGGCGTTCCCCCCCCCCCAATCACTTGGTACAGAGACACAGGGGCTGTGACAAAGGTAAAGTCCGTAAAGCAGGGTAAGCTGTGCTGCCTCCAGGCCAGAGGAAAGGAACAGGGGGAAAAAAAAAACATGCCATGGAAAAGTACAAAAAAGGCAGCTCGCCCTGAGCTGCACATAACAGCCCTGGTGTGCCCAGGGCAGGAGCTGATTAGCATGGTAAGGACCTCTGGTCACAGAACAGCCCCTCATGGCTTCCCATATTATAACCATGTCAGGAGCACTCAATAAAGCTCCCTGCAGCTTCTGCTGCTGTTCAAGTCTCCTGTACTGTCAGAGTAAGAATACGGGGGGAAACCTTACAAGATTCTCCTGCACATTGTGTTTCCCTGCCTTGCTGACCTTTCTGCTTGATGCAAGGTGACCCACCCAAGAACAGCAGCACACTAGAACCAGAGCAGAAAATAAGTTTTCTAGAAAGCCTGGGGTTCTATCAAGCTGCCAATATATTTAGTTTGTTCAGATCCCACAGCTTGTGCCATGGGAACAGTAATTATAATTGCCAGGGTGCTCTATTTTCTGCAGCTCAGGGTCTACAGGGTTCCAGCTAAGGGCAAATGAGATGCCTGTTCGGTGCCGTAGCTGGCAAGCCCGCACACGCACTCCTGGCCAGAAGGGCTCTCCTGCCTGCAGCACCGGGCAAACCCCCTCTCCACAGGGACAGAAGCAGGGACTGGCAACAACCCCACAGCGTCAGCACAGCAAGCCATCCCTCTGGTGTTCACGGCACTCTCTATAAAAGCCTATATTAAAAGGGTAGCTTTTAATGCGCCATCCTCTATATGGCTGCTGGATGGTGCAGATTTGCCCTCATCTGTAGGAACAATAATAGTGTGAGAGCCTAAAAAGAGCCTGTGCTGTTACCAATTATTTCATTTAAATTGTAGGCACACTCAAGTGCTATTGTTGCAGCTTGATTTAAAAGCCTTGTTTATCAGGAAGCCCCACTGCAATATATTGAAGGAGCTGGATTTTGTCCTGCTGATTTCATTGCATGCCCCAAAAGCCTGCTCATCAGAAAAGTCCTTGACAACCTTTTCTTTCATCTATTTTGATTTTAGCAATACATTAGAACATCCTGAAGCCCAGTTCAAGCATTTTTAACAAAACTAGTGCAGTGTACAATTAGGAGATGACTAAGTATCTTCTGCAGGCTTAAATCTTACAGAAATTTTACTTCAGAGTTGCTTTGAAATTAGTGTTGTACACAGCTATCACACAAAGCTGTTTGCCTACAACAAGTAATTGTGTGACATTAGGCTGAACAGCAAGGCCCACCTGGACAGGACCCAAGATCCGTGGGCTTCCTTCTCTATTTCATGTCTGGGGAGATCACTAGGCTTCAGCTGGAGAAAAGCCTTTTTTTTTTAAAAATTAAATCTCCTTCACTATTACCCATGCTGACAGTTCAGATGCAGTGATCCAAATGCAGCTAACTGCTCTGATCAGCGTCAGTGACAATTTAGTTTTCCCTGCAAGTGTCAGAGCCCCCATGTAGCAGTGGCAACAGCCCGTTTCGGTTCTGAACATAGTGCTTATCACAGGCATGCTCATACCTTTAGGAAATGCCACACAGGAGCAGCAGTTTCAGTCTGCTCCACATTTAAATGCTGGTGGAAAAGCACTCACCTGAGAGGTGATCTTATGCTGAGAAATAGCACTGTTTAGCAGAGGTGAGATTCCCTGTGCTGCGGCAGCAGGGACTGAGCATAGCACAGCACTGTCTGCAGTAGGGCTGCAAGGCACTGCCCAACACCAGAGCCTGTTTCCATGGCTGTAAGCCACCAGCCTCGCAATTGTCACTTAAATACCAGTGTCATTAAAAGCCTGTGAACCGTTTTCGAGAGCCAGTGGAGATCGTTAGGCTGGCCGAGCAGCCCCAAGGTCATGGCAATGTGGGAGTGCTGCAGCTGCGCAGTTCCCCCACGCGCCGCACGGTGCCGGCACCTGGAGTGTGCAGCCGAGCCCCACGGGCAGCGGCAGCCRCTCCGCTGGCCCCTGCGGAAGGCAGGCTGGCCAGCTGCAGACACCACTCAGGGGATTAGGTCATTAAGCAGAGACTTTAATCTAATAAAAACTGGCTGCGCATCAGGACTACCCGAGCCACCCCCAAGCCCCAATTACACATTTGGGCAAAATGCTCCCTAGTAAGCACTGTTTGCTCAGACAAAATAGCTCAGTGTTGGACAGCACAGCCCAGTGAGCACCTACTGAATTCATACTGCCCCCTTCCTTCCCCTGGCCCTCAGATTTTACACTTACTCTTGCCCTCTCACTTACCCCCTGAGAGCAGAGGGGCCACAAAGGAAGGGAAACAACACAACATGGCAGAGATCATGCCCAAGTGCAGCCTCTGCACCTTCATAACGAGAAGCAGAGAGCAGCAATGCAGGCTTAAGTTCCTCCTGGTCAGGAAGAACATTTCATGTGATACAGTTTCTAATTCGAGCAGGACTGCCTTTGAGCTCCGGTGCTTGTAACACAGAAGGCTGAGAACATGCCCACCCCCTACAAATGTGTTGCTGCAATGAGAGGCTTATTTCATCCTCCTTCTTGAGGTGAGTAACCAAACCGCCTCCCCAGAACAGCCTGCACCAAGTCAAATCAAGACTTTCTATTTAGTTACCTGGAGGTGCCACTCGATCCTGGTATTTGGGTTCAAAGTCACTGACAGTGAGCAACATCACTTGGATGGTCCCAATGAAGATACCTGCCAGGCAACCATAGAAGATCACATAGAAGAGGAGGATTTTAACTGCAAGAGAGCACAAATGGAAAGATGAAATCAAAAGGAGTCCTCAGGGCAGTCACATGCTTCCGGACAGAACTTCAACCTTCACTACTCTCAAGGCAGAGCATGGAGACTGGACAGCAAGCCCTGCTGCAGGGGCATGTGGTTAAGAGTGAGATGATGCCTACGAAGCACAGCCAGGAAGTTTTAAGTCATGCTCCAGTTGTGCTGGCCACAGGGCAGCAAGGGTAAGGAAATCCTCAATATCCAGAATCCCATGAATTGGGGCTGTGAGGATTAAGATTCTTCAACACTTTAGCAGAAACCCATCCCTCAGCTGGTCTGTCACTATGGGTGACTGCCAGGGGAAGTGAGGCCTAGTGCCAGCCAGGCACTGACCTGCCTCTGCTCTGAAGGTCACCTACTCCACACACTGCTGCGCCTTGCAGCCATTTCCAGAGGCATCTGCCCTAGATGCCACAGCCAGGCCCACAAGAAACTGTGAAGTTAAACTGGCTCCAGCAATTCAGGCTGCTCCTGGTATCTCTAGCCCCTCTAGAATTGGGCCCCAAAGAAGTTCTAATACTTCATATCAAACATAGGAAAGTACCTGGACTCCTCACACTGCCACACATTTACCAGTGCTCATTTACACCAGCACTCCAGCAGTACTCATTCAAATTAAAAATAGTGAATTATGTAAGAAACAAAGATTAAATTTAGTTTAGGTCTAAAGGAGATGCCTAGAATAATCTCAGCTGGGGCGGGAGGAGGCTGGAAATGCAGCACCGCTCAGAATCTGAATATCAGTTACCAGTTTACAAGGATTATCTCAAATGATTAACTGCACAGTAACATGCTGTACTAGGCATCACCAGGCAGCCTACAGGAAGGATAAGCCAGCCCATGACAAGCTAATCAGGCAATGGGAGCAAGTAGACCAGGGTAGAGGCCCAAGAATACTTAAAAATTCCTAATTATTCCTAAATATCCTAATTTCAAATCCTAAATCTAAAGAGATATTTGAAGGACTGGAATTGATATAAAGGAAGAGGTGAAAGCCTAGGTAAAAGCACTCCTCAAGTCACAGGGAGTCACAAAAAGGCTTCATTAACAGAGATGCCTCCTGATGAAGGCAGTCAGTTCTGGTTGGTTTCATTTCACATCTATGAAAGAAATATGAGCAGGAGGGGGCAGGGAGCGATGCAAAGGCTGGGGACAACAGCAGGAAGGACACTCCATCCTCTCATCTTCCTCATGGCCACCAGGGCAGCGGCGTTGCCAGTCCAGCTCAGTGCCGTAACGTGGAGCTCCAGGAGTTAAGCGCACTCTTTGGTATCCAAGCAGCGTAAAGCAAATGGCCGTGACGTCAGAGACATTTGGGAATTTTTTCTAGAGCACAGTCATAGGAGGTGCTGTTGTAACAAACCAAACACTAGTGCTCTTGTCTGCGGCACTTTGAGTTTTGTAACATCAAAAAGGCAAGCGCTGGGAGGTAGCGCATTTAATCACTCTCCCAGCCAGGATGCTCTTAATGCCGCAGGCACCTCAGGCTTCAGAGGCTCTCCCAGGTTTCAGAACAGGTGCGGCCCATGGAGCTGGTGGCCAAGCACGATGGGGCTGGATGAGAAACAGCCTCCCGCAACAGATCAGCTTGCAGCAGAACAGCAGGTCCCCTGCCATGGGCAGTCCCTCGTGCTCAGGTGCTCCCAGCACAGGGGCCCCCCACACCACTCAGCTGCCTGGTGCCTCGAAGGAAGGTCACCTACCCTCGCGCACCCGCACAAGGGCACAGGGCGGCGTGTCCCAACGCACCCACCGACGCCAGCGCAGGGCTCGAGTCCCGCACGGCCGAGCCGGGCGAGCAGCGGGCAGCCCGGGGCGCTGCGCTCGCCCAAGGGCCCCCCGCCGGCTGCGGCACATGTCTGCTTGGCGCGGCGCTGCGGCGGGCGCCGCTTCCTCTTTCGCGAGAGCCACACCGACAAGAAGAGAGAATGAAAGAAAAAGCAAGGGAGAAGCCGGCGGCCTCGCCTAAGCCCCCTTCGCCACTGGCCCTCCCGGGGGCGATGCGCGGCCGGGGCCGCCGCCAAGGAGAGCCAAGGACGCGGCGCCCCGCCAAGGGCACCGCCGCGCACCTGGGCTCGCCCCGCGCGCTCCGGCGCCGCCGCCAACGGCCCGCGCGCGCTGCGGCGCCGCGGCTGTTAAACCGCCCCCCAGCTTCCAACGGCCGGGGCACGCTGGGGAGCGGGAGAAAAGCCAAGRGGGGAGAAGCGGCGGACGCCCCCCCGCCCCGCACTCACACCAGCTGCCCCCGGTGCGGCCCAGCAGCTCCTTCTTCTCCGAGTTCCAGATGAACTTCTTCCAGTTGCCGTCGTCGTCCTTCGCCTTGCCGCGGGCCATGGCGGGCAGCGGGGGGGGCTCTCGGTGGGCAGGCCGCGGCGGGACCCCGCGGCACCGGCGAGCTCGTGGGGGGTGCCCGCCCACTCGACGAGGCGAGCCCGGGCGGCCCGGGGCGAGGCGCTGGGCGGCGGGAGGGGAGCGCGGCGGGGGCCGAAGAGACGCTGCGCCCACGGGGCACGGAGCGGCAACGCGCCCCCAACCGCCGGCCCCGCTTCATATACGGCGCCGGCCCCGCCCCCCGCCGCTCCCGCCAATCGGCGCGTGCGGAGCGCACCGGGGGGCGGGGAGACCCGCTCCGGGGGCGGGGCCCTGCGTGCGGCGCGGCGGGAAGGCAGAGCGGGCGGGGGGAGGGGCTGCGGCGCCGCCGGTACCGCCAGGCCGGGCCGGGCCGGCCGGGGCAAGAAGGGGCCGCCCCGCCCCGCCCCGCCTCGCCGCGGCCCGCAGCGCGCGGCTGGGGCACGTGGGCGGCTCCCCGCGCGGGCGTGCGTGGGCGTGTGCGCGTGCGTGCATGCCTGGCGGTGCAGACATGTGCACGGGCGTTCACAGCGTGCACGCGTGTGTGCGCGTGTGCATGCGTGTGCGCGTGTGCATGCATGTGTGCACGCATGTGTGCACGCGTGCACGCGTGCACATGTGTGTGCATGCAGGTCCGTGCGGGCCTAGCCATGTGCAGGCACCTGTGCTTGCTTGGGGGGCGTGCCCGTGCAGGCATGTGTAGACGTGTGCATGCATGTGTATGTGTGTGTTCACATGTGCATTCCTGCTCATGTCTGTCTGTGTGTGTGCACCTGTGCATGCCTGGGGACGTGCCTGTGCATACATGTGCATGTGTGTCCACATGTGTGTGTCCCTGCATGTGTGTGCATGTGCATGCCAGCATGTCCATGCACATGTGTATGTGTGTGCACCTGTGCATGCCTGGGGTGTGCACATCCATGCATGTGCATGGATGTTTCCACACATGTATGCAGGTGTGCATGTGGAGGTGCATGCAAGTGTGTGTGTGCAAATCCGTGTGTGTGTGTGTGCATACACACGCAGGCCGGCAGCGAGGGTGCATCTCCACCACTGCCCTGCCGCTCCCAGGCACTTCCCCAGCACCCACTGGCCCCACCGCTCACAGCGCACACGGTGGCAACTGGGGATGTTTCTGGCCATGGGGACATCCCCATCCCCGCACTCCTGCGTGGCCTGGCCCCAGGCTGCGGCCCTGCTCCCTGGCGCATGCACGTGCAACATGGCTGCTGAATATTTAACAGCAGCAGCGCTGTTGTCCCAGCGGCCGGAGGCGCCTTCGGCTGGAAACACCTGCCTGGAGGGAGAGGAAGAGGGAGGGCCTCGGGGGCAGCCGCCGCTGCGGCTGGCAGCTGCCAGGGGCCCGGTCACCCCCACAGCCCCCAAGTGTTGGAGAGGCTCGTGTGGCTCCCCGTGTTTTTCTGGGTGCTGCCTGCACCCAGACAGGGCGCTGCTGCCTGGTAGGAAAATGGCGAAGAAAAAAAAAAAAAGGTATTTTAGTGCATCACTGACATTATCGGTTTAATCTCTTCCCTGATCGCATGTCTCTAACGAACCTTGATCCCATGGTATCGTTATGGTACAGTTCAAGATACACGTGCATCCTACATGACTGGATTTATTTTCATTCAGAATCTCCTATTTAGCTCCAGCACTATTTTGCACATATTTTCTTGCCTTAAAGCTTCTAGCATGTCCTCTCAAGCCCCCCTTTTCTTGTGTGTTTGCTTCTGGGAAGCTGAACGAATATGTTTGGGCTAGTCCTTCCTTGGTATCTCAGAGCAGTTCTAGAGGCCACTGGAGAATGACCCAGCCTGAATTTCTGGTCTGACTAACCTACCTCAGCGACTCTTCTGGACCTCAAGAAGTGGCAGTCAGGCCACCAAAACTCACATTAAAGCAGCAGTCAGGGAAGAAGCTGTATTGTGGCACTTGTCCCCGGACTGGATACTCTATGCAGTGGATTCTTTCCAAACTGATCCACAGTTCCTGGAGCAACCAGTATGGAGACCTGTTTTTTTGGGCCATCAGCCTGAGCCTGCTGGGGCCACACAGGCCAGATGCCCTCCAGGCCATTCCAGGTTAATAGCAGTGGCTAAGCTTGACTTCTACAGCTTTAGGCAAGCCTGCAGATTTCTCCAAGACCTCTAGGCTTACGGATTAGAAAAATGACAAGTATCTTGACAGATGTATAAAGAGTTTGCATGCCTAAAAAGCTGTATATGTTTAAGTGTGAGTGTCCAGTTGGCTGAATGTAGCAAGAAATGCTCTGCATACCACGTGTGCCATGTGTGGATTTGTGGTCTAGGTTAGGAGACTCAGTGGTGCTCATGTGATGAAAAATGTCTGACCAACTAGAATGGAAGAGGAGAAAATGGCATCTCTCTTTCCTCCTTAATGTCTTTTCAAAGCTGCTTTTAAAAAGGTCTCTTGGTGGAAGGTTATGGCAAAAGCCAACAGGCAGAAGTCCCCGATACCAAACTCCTACATCTACCATGTAGTGAGAGAAGTACCAAGTGCAAGCCAAGAAGGCCGTGATTACAATCAGGCCAATAAATAGAAAAGGAAAGGAAAGGAAAACCTGCCTATCTCTAACAGACTTCAGCACAATTCCCTTTTTAGCCAACTAGGCAGCGTCTCTCCACCGTTGGGCAGCCAAGTTTGCATTGGCCACTTGGGAATTGAACTGAATCTCCCTCTGGGGTGTCCTGGGATGCAACTTACAGCACAGGTACATTGCCCTACAAAGATCAGCAGTGTGGAAATTACGTGCAGGCATGCGGTGCTGTCACTAGAGCATGAAGTCTACCCACTACACAGCCTATCAGGGGAGACTATGTCTGGCATTATCAGCAGCTCATCTAGCCTGCTGAGGAAAAAATCACACGAGTTAGCTCAGGGCACATGTAACAGCAACCGTTAATACTTTGCTCTTTGCTTTCTACCCAAGGAACAGGTCATCCTAAATAAAACAAGCACTGGGGATTAAGACAGGGCTTCATCCTTTCACAGCAATGCTGAGCTTGGAAAAGGGACTGAGAGTACACTTGCCCCCATCATTAATTCCCAAGAATAGTGACAGGGAGTTTGGAGAAAGTGGCTGGAGAATATCTGTGTCATCACTTGCCAGCCGCTCAGCAAATGGCCACCCAGGGCCACATGCTTCCTCTGAGCATGTTCTCACTCTTGCTGCAAGAGCTAGTGATACCTGTGGATGTTGTGCTGCAGGAGCTCCTGACTTCAAGATCACTGGGAATCTCCTCTTCCTGCCAGCATTTGTACTTTTGTATAAATACACAGAAAGGTCCTGTTAGGTGAGCGGAGTCCAGCAAGACCCAACATCCCATAACTGCAGAGCTTGGCCTATGCAGGCAACAGGCAAAGGCACTTCATGAGGTTGCACACCATTTCTGCACGCTCTTGCACAAATCCAAAGCCTCAGTCCTGAGCACACTCTTAGTACATACTTTACTCGATGTTAGTGAATTATCAGCAGAACTCATAGGTACAGGGAGCCAAATTTGATTCAGATTTACAGTTTGTTTGGCTGCTCAGATATCAATCAGGCCCTCTCTCAGGTCACCACTACAGCATCTGATTTTCTAAGGTGATAAGGATCTGAGGCAACTTCTGAAACTGACAAGAACAAAATGTTCAGATACGCGTGTCTAGGAGATTAGCTGTGCGAGGAAGGGGTTGTGGAAAGTGGAAGAACAACTTGCAGGATGGGATTTTTAGAGCTGATTTTGCTGCCCTTCAGAATCAGTATGTCAAGAGCACTCTTGGTAGATCTGGATGGCCATCAAGTGATGACATCTCATCTGAGTCTTTTCCTATGTGGCTTGGGGAAAGTGCCTTGGGAAGAGAGAGGCATCTCACTGCAGGGCAGAAAATTACTTTTGCTCTACAGCAAGAGACAAGACCATGGCTTAGGTCAGGTAGGGATAGAGCAGAGGGAAGATTTGCCCAACCGGGGGGTTTGTCCAGYCAATGGAATTTGCAGGGGGAAATGAGGACAGCGGTGCGGGGCGGCTGACAGTCACACGTGGAAACTTGGAGTGGAAGCAGAGAGGGGAGAGGCAGGCTGGCAGGGGGGACTCTCAGGACTTGCAGGAGCTGCTGCTAATTTTAAGACCACAGAAGTGTGCAAAACGGCCTTAAGTAGTTGCTATTCATGGGGCTGCAAGCGCGTGGGGCCAGGCCTCTGCTGGCTGCTATGCCCCTGCTGGCTGCTGTGCCCCTGTGCTGGGAAAGGGCAGCTGCTCCTGCGCTTGGCACCTGGCCTGAGTTGTGCGGGACAAGAGGGAGGGCAATGAAACTGGTGACCAGAGCCCCAGTGGCCCCAGCACGCACAGCACGACCTGTCTTCCCTTGCAAGCCCAAAGCCAGAGGCCCGGGGGTGTGCGGGCTCTTCACACCTCTATGCGGCCATCAAGGGGCCTCAGAGAATGCCTGGGGGCAATAAGAAACAAAAAATGAGAAATATCCCCCAACACACACACCAAAATCCAGCCATGGGCCCAGCAGTCCTTCCTCTAATATCAATTTGATAGTGGCGTAATGCACTCCTGGTGTGGGTGCCGATAACCGGGCAAGAGATCTGTGAGGCATGAGGCCTTTGGGGGGTTAGTCACAGAAGCGTGCTTGGAAATTTCTAGGAGTTGGTTAAGCCTCTGATATGGTGGTTTAACTGTTGTCCTGCTGCCTTGGATCCTGAATGTATAACTCACTGACTACCACTTAATTACATGTCATTAATAAATCAATAAACCACTTCAATCCTGATTCGGTCTAGCCTACGTGCCCTGCCACAGTCACCCACTTCCCCTTTTGCACCAACCCCAGCAGGAGGCCTGTAGGCACCATCATTAGACAGAGCCTGATTTCAGGCTGAGCTTGGGTGCCAGGCCCAGTGGGTGGCTCAGAGAACAGATGTATATGCAACAACGTGGTGATGTGCCTGCTGCTTGATAGCTGTGGTGAACGCCACTGGGGAAGGGTACGGAGTTCT